CTCGTATGGTTAAGGGCTTGCAGGCCAAGCCCTATGAGGAGAGACTGGGGCACCTGGACCTCTTCAGCCTCCGCAAGAGAAGGTTGAGAGGCGACCTTGTGGCTGCCTATAAGTTCATCACAGGGGCACAGAAGGGAATTGGTGAGGCTTTAGTTACCAAGGCGCCCCCGGGGGTTACAAGAAATAATGGCCACAAGCTAGCAGAGAGCAGATTTAGACTGGACATTAGGAAGAACTTCACAGTTAGAGTGGCCAAGGTCTGGAACGGGCTCTTAAGGGAGGTGGTGCTGTCCCCTTCCCTGGGGGTCTTCAAGAGGAGGTTAGATAAGCATCTAGCTGGGGTCATCTAGACCCAGCACTCCTTCCTGCCTATGCAGGGGGTCAGACTCGATGATCTATTTAGGTCCCTTTCGACCCTAGCATCTATGAATATCACATCAATGCTTTGTTATCAAGGAGCAATGCCAAAGATGTAATCATACTTTCTGCTAATTCTGAAAAAGGAAACCCTATACTCTCACAAAACACCAAATTACAAAACTTTTCAAAATTAGGCATCTTTATTATATTAAAGGAATAAAGAAATTTGAAAATGTGACTTAATACGTTTATCAAGATGTGAAAGTGTTGTGGTAATCTGAAACACATCTTGATAAACATATTAAGTCATATTTTCAAATTTGAGGATGGAAATCTGTACATTACTGGTGTAACATCTTTCTTGATAGCAGTAAACTGTATAATGAACATTGTAGCAGCTACCAGAGGAGAGGCGGCTAAGTTATTTTTATCTATAGCGCCTCTCTTTTTTTTTCCAATGGCTATAACATGGCAAACCAGTTACGCAAGGGAATGCAGATTACTAGGTCTGGTTTCTGATGACATACAACATTTCTAGAAAGCTTACAAAGCTGTTGCAGTTATAAATGACATACTGGAGGTAGGATGGGGGTAGTTTTGTGGCACTTTTTGCACAGCAGAAGAATCTGAGATTTGAAACTTGAGTTTGTGTAGAAATAACCTAATGTGAGAAGCAGTGCAGACTCTTGGTCTGGATCAATCTGATTGTCACCTGATGATCTCACAGAAAAGCACTTGAGAATTTCATCCTGAATCAGCTACTTAAATATTGTTTTTTGACTGTGCCTCTTAGGTCAGTGGTTCTCAACCTCAGTAGCCTCCAGGCAAACATCTACTACAATGAAGAAAAGTCTCACTGACTCAAAACTAGATAGGCAGTATGTGGCCTCAAACATCCATAATGCATTAAATTCTTAAATAAGATTGAGCAGCTGGACCATACCCAGGATTTTTCCTCAGTGCCAGAACCAAATAATTTTTCCTTAGAGAGATATAAAGTTAGAGAAACAAAAACAGCATGAAAGTCAGTCCTAGGAATAAAATTCTGTTCTTAAGTTTTACTTATGTCAACTATTTACCTCAAAACAGTAACTGCTCTTTTTTAACTGGGATATGTTTTTTGCAATGCTCTCATTTGGCTCGCTATAGCAAATACCTAAGGTCTAAATCATTACAATATTTCTACACATTATAATTTTTTGTATTTCACATCCCAGCTGAACCAAAGTGATACAGTGTTTGCAAAAACTAAGAGAAAGAGCTTTCCCGTTACCTTGATTTCCACATTTCTTGTTTTTAAATTAAATCGGATTTGAAGTTGCAAATGTTCCACAACAGGTGTGAATATTTTCATCCAATTCTCTTTCAAAGGGGTATATCGGTTTGCTGGTACAGGGATTTTCCTCATTTCAACTTTTTCACCCTAGAAAAAGGGATTTCAGTTTTACTTAAAAAAAAAGAAAAATTAGACTAATGCCCCATGGATCCCAAAATAAGGGTCACCCCTCTCCAAAACCCCCACATGCACATTTTTGTCCAACCCATTTCTAAAATTACCCAGGCCACCCACCCCCACTGGTCTGAGGAGGCACAATTGACCAGTATGAGAGGCCTGTCCCCTCCCCACCAAATCAGTGGGTTTCCAAGATGCTGCCCTGCTTTGTGCAGTCCTGTGAGAACTCATTTGAGATGTGCAGCACATTAAGTGGCCCCGAGCTTCCCCCAAACCCATGCTGACACGCTGGCTGCTAGAAGATGGCCTGTCAGTGTGCTCAGTCACCAACAGGTTTTTTCCCCGCCCTTGAACAGAATGAATAATAGTCCAACAGACAGTGGATTGCAGGACTGCCACACTCACAATCCACCGAACAACAAAGCAGTGAAAGAAGAATATTATGCCAAAGTTTTGTGCTGGGGCGCAAAGTGCTAGTAATACTTGTTGGGAAGGGGCTGCATTAAGGACCAAAGGCTGCCATCAAGGACATCAACCTTTAAACCGGAAACCTGATGAGGTTTCTCTGCTGAATCCTACTTCATTCCCATCTAGTGCTCTTCAGCTGTAGGTCAGCCAATGTAGCATCAGTGTGGATTTGGGTAAAGGTTGAGCCACTTGCATGTCCTGTAAAATGATTTACCTCTAAGGTAAGGACTGCAGAAGGCAGGGCAGCACCTCATATACTAACTGGTTTGTGGGGAGGGAGGTGGTCCATCTTGCCCAGTCTCAGTGCCCCCTTTTAGTGAGCTCACTGTCAACCTTTGACCTTCACTCCAGCCCCTGTTTTGTCTCATGAATTCAGTTAACACATACGAAACAGCCCCCTCTATAAACAGGAAGGGCTAACTGTTGCTCTGCAAGCATAACATCCATGTTCCCAACATGGGGCAGACAGGCCTAAGAGGAGGAGCAGGGAGCATGAGGCACCAGCAGCTCTGCTGGAGTCCCCCCTCCCCGGGAAGTTCGGCCAGGGCTGCTAT